AGTGACTCTGGAACTTGTCTTAACATCATTACCAAAACCATTGCAAAACGTCTTGGTATCAAGGACGTGTACTAAACCCCAAAGCCCCATGAGTTTATGACTTCGCTTACTATCCCAGTTTGGTGTTTCCTTGCAGATTATACATTTTTCCTGTGGATTGACATCCTATGTCGTAAAACGTACATTTGTGCACTTTTAGACATTAGGGTTTTATAAATTTAAAACTCCAGATCAATGGGATTGCAAAAGACCTGCGATCCTGAGGCCCATCAATTCTAGACCGCTGTCTCGTACAAGATTATGAGAGAAAGATACTTCAAGCCAAAGAATCCTAAATCCGTTTTGGAATGGAGTAATGGAGAACCAAATAAGGAGGAACAAAGAGAAGCAAAGAGGACTTGTCACAAGACATTGTCTTTGAAAGACTAAGATCACCTCAGAAACAATATCGAGCTAAACGACTTTAAACAAAAGTGCTCAAGAAGAGCCTGAAGATGATGAGTTTGCTGATCAAGAAGAGCCTGAAGAGGATGAAGCATTAGTTATACCAGTTGCACCGGATGCTCTAGTTATACCAGTTGGACCAATGACCAGATCTAAGTCCAAGCAATTCAAGGAAGCACTCGGACCTATGCTTAAACACATCTGGAGACAAAATGATATCTTGAGCAAGGAGGGAGAAGATGTTATACAAGCCTCATTGGTTTCTATATAGGCTCAAGATAATAGAAAAATGGGCATGTGATCCATTTGTATTCTTTTTACCTCTCTTTTGGTTTTGTTTGAATGGCTTTTTCAAAAGGAGGTTTTCAATGAGGCAAATGGATCACATCATATCACCCATTTGTTGATCCATCAAGGCCCAGCAAGAAGAAGTCTCGGTCAAGGGTGTAGAAGTTTTGTTTTTTGTTCTTTCTTTGTTCAAAATTTGTCTTTATTGCTTGATCATTTTCAAGACAAGTCTTGGCTGTCTCAAGCTCTTTCTCTTTCCTTTTAAACCCTTGTAAGCTTCATTATCGAGCCCAAGCCGCTCACCAACTCGCCAAGCCGCTCCCCTTGACCTGCCCATTCATCCCGCCTCGACCCGCCCATCATCACCTCGCCCATCGACTCGATCGCCAACTTGCCTCACTCATCCCCCATCTCGCCATGACCCACCACGCCAACTTGACTCAACCACCATTTCCCACCCGTCGAGACACAACCCTCACTCGCCACCCATCTCGCCCAATCCAATCAGCCTGCCTTATCTCACACCTGACCTCTTCACCGTGGGGGCCCCCAATCCGAATGTGGTACAAGATGAATCAACTATGGTCTCGTGTTTTGGACTACGGCCGAAGCATGATGCACCGCTAGCGCCACTCGCCCGGCCGCGCTCAATGCATGCTCGATCCGTGTCATCCTTTTTCATCCCGGTTCGATGTTCATCTCCTTCACAATCCATCATATGACCATACAATCACTATCAACCACAACACATTCATATCATCACCATCCTCTGCATCATTCCTAGAGCATCCATGTAAGTTTTATTTTTCTTATCTTTTCCATACATTCATACTCTATTTACTCAATTTATTTCACACTGGGGACAGTGTGATTTAAGTGTAGAGGAGGATTTCATCTCTTACGAACCACCTTTCTTCATGAGTCTTACATTATTCACATCTTTCTTGTTTTATTTTAAACAATTAAAAAAATGTTTTCAAATCAACATACGTTTTTAAGATAATGATGAACATGAATCAATGATAGTTGATTGTGTGCTTTTAGGCTATTCCCTAATGACATGCTCATTCGTGATTTAGGATTAGACTAGGCGGTAACCAGGCACATTTGACGTAAAGTACCCCAGAGGAATTTCAATTGCTTAGATTTAGAGGAAAAAAACACTCTGTATTTTATTTGGACTAAACATTGACTTCATTTTCTCATTGAAGACATAAGATCATGGAAACGAATGATCATACATTCAGAACTTCTTATTCTTTTTACCACTGTTTGTTGATCCTAATGACTAATTCATCTTTAGCTAGTTCTCCACCTTACCCTACCTCTTTGAAACCACATGCATTCTTGTTTTTGTTGTCTTATATGCAGATATGTGCAAAAACGCCGGAGAGAAAGAGGAACGACGCAGTTTTCAATCACTGAAGATGGAGACTTTGCGATTTATGGGATTGATTCAATAAGGAAGAAAACTTGGTTGCCTCAGAAAAAATTCAAAAACATGGTATATTTTCGTGCCCCTTAAGACTTTCTCTCAACAAAAAGGTGTTTCTCCTTTAAAAAAAATGTTAAAAAAAAGAAAATCAGAAGGGAAAAGAAACAAAAACCTTATTGAGTCTAAGTGGTTTGATTTTGTCTATGGGGCAATCCTTGCTTTGATTATTTTTAGTCCGAAATATCAACTATCGATTCCTGAAAAAAATATAAGTCTGGGGAAGTAGTAGTTTACACCAAAGGAGGAAGAATTGTGCAACAACACTTAGCAAGGAGAAGTGACTAGATATCAAACCGGGATATCTGAGATAGGAAATCAGAGTCCTCAGGTGGTAAAGTACATTTCTTAGGCGATGCAGAAGCCTGGCAGATTATTCTCTAGAAATTCCCCAGTACAGGGAATCAATTTATATTTCATCTATTACACTTCTGACGAGATGCATCAAGGTCCTCATCAGTCGGTTTAAAGGTGGAGTCAGCCCAAATATAGAAGAAAAAAACTGAACAAATCTGGGAGTCCATCAGCAAAGTAAATGAACGAAAAAAGGTCAAAGGAAGAGAGCAAGTAAGAGAAGTGAATCGTCAAGACAATATATTCACTTGTAGAAGATGATTACGGAGTGAAATTCCTTTAAAAGGGGTTTAACCTCTAATGAATGGAAGGAATTGGGAGGGAAGTGAAAATCTCAGCCCAGTAAAACAGATCCAGTATACAAATGGTAAAAAAGTAAAAAGGTCGAAGAAGTGAAATACATAAATGCACTAGAGAGCTGAGCTGAAAGACACGGTGGAGTGAGTTTAGACTTAAAAGAAGAATAAATCCAAATCTGTCAAATCAACCCTGCCATGTCCAAAGATTCGTTTGAACAAGTGATTTAAGGCACCTGAACGTAATAGTCATACCTTCAAATTAGAGACTTTTCATTGCAAAGCAAGCGGAGTAAATGACAACATTAAACACGAACTCGGATTATAAAGCAAAAATAAGGGCAATGAAGTTAAAAAATGAATTTCAACTGCAACTTGCTCTACTATAAATACTTAGCAATTCTTTGTTCTTTTTCTTGTGTAAACACTCTTGAAAACTATTTACTAAACTCATTCACTTCATACCTTTTGTTTAAAAATTTATTTTGATCCATTTATGATTAGGTCATCGAACCAACACCAAATCAAACGATCGTTCCCAAGCTCAAAGCACCAATGATCCGTTCCAAAGCTAGGAGGTTTAGAGAAGGGTTCAATTTGGCCATAGAATCATTACTAAGCACCATGGAGCTTGAAGGTGCATTCAAAACCGTTTCTCAAGAGCATTACACGCAAGACAGCCCCAAAGGACCCGATTTAGCATAATGGAGGGCTTCGCGCGTTTGAGGCTCAAAGAGAGCAAGCCTCAACTAGAACAAGGTATACATGTTTACTTGGCAGGAAATGGAGCACGGAACACCAAGAATTCCGAAGAGACTGCCTCGGACCTGCAAGATACAACCGTTTCAAGACACGAAGCCGATAGCAGGCAAATGAGACAAGAAGAAGGACATGAAGCAGGACACGAGAAGATACTTGAAGAACTCATATGACACGACGTTAGCAGGACTCTAGACGAAGGAAACATCAAGACTAACGAGCAACATGGGCCAGAACGCGACTTAATCAACCACACAACAAGCAAGTCCACAATCGCCCTTAATCAAGTATTTTCAGTTTATACGATCTTTGCAGGTAACATGGAAGTATCCTAATGGTGTCTAACACACTAGAGAGCATCAGAGGTCCACGGAACAAGTCCAGAAAAGGTTGCGCATAGCTAGTTCTTTTCTTTTTTATTTTTAAGTGAACTTTCCATTTTTGTGTCCAAATGAGACGCTTTGCCATTTTTGTTTTATTTCTTTCACAAGTCCTGTTTTTTTTAGTCTTTAGTGTCGTTTTTCTTGTTAAGTGTCAAACCCTAGAAGGTTCAAAGCTGATGGAATATTTATAAAGTCCCACACGCAGCTGTTGTACTCACCTTTTTTTCACCTTATCAATAAAATAACGCCGTTTTTCCTCTTAGCTTGTGCTTGAGAGACTTTGCTTGTGTTCTTGCATGTTTGATTCACCAAGGGGCAAGTTTGCAGTATCAGAGATCCCAAAATAATCTCTGTGGTGCCTTCGATCCACTTCACAACCATTCTTTGATCTCTCAAGAGAGAGCGATAAAGCCAGCTTGACAGATCCCGTATCGATTCAAGCCTTGTGTAAATGAGACTTGTCTTACAATCTCCATCCACTGATCCCCACGAGAGAGCGTGAAAGCCAGCGTGTTGATCCCCCCAAGCCATTGATCCCCAATCATATAAGCCTCTCACCGAGTCTTATATCAATTTAGTACTTCCAGAGCAACAAATTTTCGGTTTAGTACTCAAATATCATTCGATTTTTCTGTTATTAAAGATAAGCCAATTTGATAATTTCTATTTACAAATTTTGAACGTTATAATTCCAGCTACCTTCAAGGATTTTTCTATTGTAGTCAAAGAAGTTATATGTGTCTAACTTTGTAATTTCTCATACAGATGGTTGGAAAACAAATCTTTCTGCTTGTCAAGGGTAGATGGTTTGAAGATACTCCGGGTGTTTGGGCTTTCATGACAGACAAAACAGATCACAGCCAAGGTGCTTTCTTAACTTCTAGGATGACATATAAGGAGGTTTTGAAAATCGTGAGAGAGAAGTACCAGTTAAGTGAAGATGCAGGGGTAGCTCTGACATTCCAGTTGCCCTCGTATATGCTCATGGATGATGGCAAAGATGCACCGTCGGTAGATGTTTGTGGTGATGACGATGTTTCTTTGTTCGTCCAAATGCGCTATGAAATCGAACAACTGAACCTATGTTTCACGGTGCATAAAGAGGATACCCATTTTGTGCCACAAACAGCTTTGGTGGAATTTGTAAACACCGGAAAAGATGACTCTGAAAACATGGAAGATGATGGTAAGTTTGGTCATCGGTGTAACTTTCACTATTACAAAATAAGTAGTCATATAAGTAGGTTTTGCTTACCAAAGTAGTAGACTATCCAGATCTGGTTTTTACTTATTTAGTAGTAGACTATTTTACTATCCAGATCTGGTTTTTACTTATTTAGTCGTTGACTATGTTAACTATCCAGATCTGGTTTTACTTATTTTTTTTGTAGACTATGTAGATCTGATTAACCTTTTAAGTGGTAGTCGCCTACATATAGTTGGGTATTTGACACATGTTATTCACATTTTTCTTAATGAGTGAGCAACTAAATGTATTTGGATATTTTATCTCTTGCGTGTGCATTGTTAAGGTAAATGAATACAATATCTGGTAATAATGACGTGAGTGGATTTCTCTTTTGCTTGTATAAGGATCTGAAAAAATGGACGAATTGGCAGCAATTTGTCTTGCTTGTGAAGAGGTCGATTTGGATGGAGGCAGTGATGAAGAATTCCTTGCGGGTAACGGCAAAAAAATGCTTAACTTTTCCGTTGATGATTCTGCAGAGGCAAACAGTGCGGTGGTCAGAAAGAAACGGCATGGAAAAGCCGTACTCGAACACCCCCCCCCCTTCAGGATGCGAGGCCGATTGGAAAGTCCCAAAACAGAGAGAAAAATGTTTCTTCTCTGACCCAGAAGAAATGCCGGTAATGTTTGTAAAAGATGCTCCTCCGATAGTGGACGAAATTGATGATGATGGTAAGTAGTTGAATATATGTAGCCATTTATAATTACTGTTTATGTAGTTCACTACAACATATCTTTCTATATTTACAGGAATATATAGTGCCCTGAAAGACGTCCGATAGAGGGGGATGAAATTTTTGTTGGCCGGATATTCAGAAACAAGGTCAAATGCAAAATCAAGATGGCTATATATGCAATCAACAGGAAATTCCACTTTAGGACTCCTCGCTCGACACCACAGTTCATGGAATTCGTCTATGTGAGCTCCTGCCGGTGGCGCTTGTACGCTTCGCTGATGGACCAAACCGGAAACTTTCAGATAAAAAAAGGCACGGCTGAAACACACCTGCCCACTTGAAGACCGTAGACAATTCCACAAACAAGTAACAACAGAAGTCATAGGGGAATTGATACAACCAAGGTATTCATCTATTGATTATAGTCTTTACTCAGATATTTAAGAGTACATTCTTGTGGTTAATGTTTTCATGTAGACAAACACTAATAGTTGGCTAAGTGGGAATGTAGATTTATCGCAGGAAAAAAAGGCACGGGTCCTATAAAGATCCAACAAATCATGCTACATGAGTTCCAGGTTAACATCTCCTACTGGAAGGCGTGGCGATGCCGTGAAGTTGCTGTCGAGAAAGCTTTTGGATCTGTGTCCGGAAGTTATTCTTTACTCCCATCGTATTTTGAAAACCTGCGTACCTCATACCCGGGCATTGTTTGCAAAACAGAGTTCCAGATTAATAAAAATGGTTCTAATAGGGTCAAGTATATGTTTATCTTATTTTCTGCCTCCATTTCTGTACTACCGTACTTAAGGTCTGTCGTGTTGATTGATGGTACACATCTTGTTGGCTGTTATGGTGGATGCCTTATTTGTGCGAGTGGGCAAGATGGAAACTTCCAAATCATCCCAATCGCTTATGCCGTCGTGGACAGCGAGAAGGATGCATCCTACAAATGGTTCTTCAGGTGTCTCAGACGATCATAAGGGATGAGAAAGGAGTGATGTTCATCTCCGTTAGACACTCATCGATCTACTCGGGACTGAAAAAGGTAACTACTTGAAATCAGTGTTATGAATATGGAATAGTTGACTACATATAAATATTTATTTATATCCGAAAATGATAACTACTAGTAGGTAACTACAATGGATATTTCATATATTCTTAAGGTGTACCCGTCTGTTGGGCATGGTGCGTGTTTGGTGCATCTAGCGAGGAACGTGACAACAAAGTTTAAAGAGAGTTGCTTGCCTTCACTAATGGTCCGTGCAGCAAAGGCTTATATGGTGTATGAGTTCAACCAACTATTTGCCGAGCTGCGACGAGTTAGCTCTGCATGTGCGGAGTACTTAACTAATATAAGATTACCACATTGGACGAGGGCCTACTGTGTTGGTCAATGCTACAACGTCATGACAACCAATTTTTCTGAGTCGCTGAACAAAGTACTAAAAGAATGTACGGAATTTCCCCTAATATCCATACTTGAAGCGATACGGATGAGCCTAATGGGATGGTTTGTACGGAGAAGGTCTTCGTACGCCTCTGAGATACATCTCCTGACAAGTAAAGTGCGAGACATCATGGACGACATCTTTTATGAAGGCACCAAGCTGAAGGTAAAACTCGTGGATAGTAATCATCTATTGATTATAGTCTATAGTCAGATACTTATACGTCTATTCTTCTGGTTTATGTTGCCCATGTAGACCCGTATTAACAATAGACTACCTCAAATTGTAGGTGATCGTCGTAAACCAGAATGAGTTTGAAGTTTACGACTAAAAGGAGTTTAGATTTGAAGTGAATCTGCAGACTAAAATATGCAGCTGCAGAGAGTTTCAAATGCTACTTATACCATGTTGCCACGCATTGGCTGCCAGCTCGTACAGCCAAATTAATAACAATACCCTGGTGGGGGAGGTATTAAATGACTATTTGATCGAATTGTTGTATTAGATGACTTGTTACTTTCGTAGTGGAGCGATCACTAAATTACTCAAAATAAATAACTACATACTAGTCAACTAAAAACCAAATAGGGGTCAGAACAGACACACTAAAATACTTATTTTCGTAACTAATACAAACAAAATCTGAGAATAAGTAACTACATATTGGTCAACTAATACTTACCAAAAAGTTATGGCCGGTTTATGGGTTAAACAATATTAAATCAGATAATAAGTGAATACATGATAGTCACTTATTCATGTTGTAAGTGAGAAGTCATTAAAATAGGTGAGAAACCATTAATAGATATGAGAAAACGTGTCTCTAAAGCTGGATAGGCTACTGAAAAAAGTTAACCCTAACAATAGTTTGACTGGAAAGCGACATCCGTTTGGAGAAGAAAAAAGGAAGGATTTAACAAAACAGATTTAATACAACATGCGCCAAATTTTGAGGAAGGCAAATTCAGGGATTAGTTGGCGGAGCCACTGAAGTAGGTGGGTCGACTTACATAGTAGGTCAAAAGCGTAAGTAAGAGCTGCATCATGGACCAGATCGTCTTCAATGACAGTGTCGATGAGTGGAGCTGAAGTAGCATGAGTATAAGAACTCCACTATGACCTGGGACAAATACAATGTGCAGTTAAAAAAAGGAAACAATTACATATATATGATAAATGACTACAAGTAGTAGATTACCCATAGTTGCTGTTTGGAAAACAGTCTTAGCAATTGAAATGTTGAAAGCGTCTAGGGTGTCGTTCTTCATCTCTGAATTGTAAGCAACTTTCCTGATAAAGTGTGGAAGAGATTTCGCAAGTGGTACTAAGAGAGTCTTAAGCTTCATCTCCTTAATCGTTTGGTTTCAATTCAAAAACAGCTATCTCATGTGCCTCCAAATCGATGCAAATACCAATCCAATGCCTATTGTCAAATTGGAAGGAACAGTAGACACGACCGACTACAGTGTATCGAGGGTGTCTGTTTTTGACATAGGCAATGGTACCATTGGGGAGGGTAATCTTGGACTTCTTCGAGTTTGTTAGAAATTGGTCGTGAAGCTACACAATTTCGTTGATTAATCTGAATTCAACGAAATCGTAATTCATTGGATGAGTGTCTCTGGTCACCCACAGCTGATCACGGATACAGGAAATTAAGGCATTCATGCCCTATTGAAAAATAGAAAACTACTAGTAGGCGTCTATAATAAGAAAAATATAGTTGTCTAAGAAATTACCGAAATTACATAACTTACCAAGGCGCTTACTGGCTTCATACGAGAAATTATTTTATTAAAGATGTTGGGAGACAGACTAACGCCTTACCAGGGGTGGAAAAGACTATGTGAATCAAATAAAATATGTAAAACAAAGTCAGAAATCAGCTCTTTTTGGCGAAAAAGAACTTCATTACTAAACACTAACCTCATATCTTTAATTCTGGCTTCAAGGAAACTTGTTCAGAGGTGGGTCTAGGAAAAAAAAAGCAGACAATTTTACAGATTTGTCGGTCTTTTTCTGCTGTTTCTGAGGGTACACAAAGTCTGAAGATGTAGATGCAGGAGCTCTTGGGCGCAAGCTTTTGCATATCGGAGGAGGAACTTTGGAAGAATCTCCAACATCCATTCTGCTCTTCTGCTCTTCTTCTCTTAGCCGAGCTTCCTCACGGTTCTTCTCTTCTTGAGTTAGACCAAGTGAAAAGGCTTGAGGGTCGTCTATTATTGGGTTCAATATTACCTAATAATAGACGTTTTCAAACTTTTTTTAAAAAAAAACTTGATTTATATGGATTTATATGTAAGTTAGGTAAGAGCACTGAATCACAGATCTTACAGAAATACATAATTACGTACCTGCTCTTTAGGTACTTCAAAATTCGGCTCCGGGATGCCAGCATTCTCATCGGTAAGCTGAATGATCAAAAGAAATGGAAGCAGATAGTTGAATACATATCACTATCAGATAGAAACTTATTAAATAGATGGCTACAAACCTGTTCTTTATGTAGTTCAGTTTGTGGATCACGGAGCACAGCCTTCTCATCGGTGACCTGAAGACTCACAAATAATATTAAATTAAAAAAACGATTAGTAGTAGTCAACAAAACCGGTTGAGGCTAAATATAGAACCTGAATTTTATCGATCTGAATTAGCGACTGGATTGTCTGCATTATCAAAGGTGGCCTAGACAGTAACACAAACATTAGTGAAAATAGACGATTATAAAATAGTGGTAATGAGTTAATACGAACTTGATCTTTAGCGGACTCAAAATTCGGATCTGGGAGGTTTCAAATATCTTCGGTTGCCTGAACACTAACAAATAACATATGAAATAAAATTACTGTATAATAAATGACTACTAGTAGACGAATACGAACCTTAACATTTGTGGGCTCGGGATCTGGGACGTCTGCAGTATCCTCCATCTGCTGTAAAGTAATACGACAGGAACATAAATGTACGATGATCAGATTATTTGACTACAAATATACGAATACGAACCTGATCTTTTGCGGACACCGAATTCGAATCTGCATGTCCATCGGTGGCTTGAATTGGTAATTGAAGAACACAGCGTCAACTTATAGACGACTATAATGTAGTCAGAATATTCATGGGAGAAAAATAGGTGAATACTGTGGAATAAATTCGTACCTGTAAATTAGAATCCCCCGAAATTGGATATGTGACAGGAATTGACGGAACTGGGAGATCTGTATTCTCATCTATGACCACTTCAGAGGCATTTAAATATTGAAGCAGTTCATCTATCCTATTGGTCGCGTGGGTCGCTTCATCAGTGAAAGTAACTTATGTTCCATCATCTGCAACTTGAGAACCGTCCAGACCATCCCCAGCCTCTTTCATGGAAATGTCTGCGTTCTGCTGATCCCCTAGGTTATCTTCTTCCTGAGCCCCTTGGTTATCTCCTACCTGATCCCTTTGGTTATCTCTTTCCTCGGAATTTTCTGATTCATCGTCATCTTTGTTAGAGGTGGTAACGGGAGAAGTTTCAGTAGGAGCACTCCGCTCTTTGAATTTCGTAAACTCGGAGCAAAAAAGGGCAAGCTCCTTGAATGCTGATTTGACACCACGACGAATCAGTTGAACATCAGATTTTATCAAGTTGACCGCATTCAAAATGCTCTCATTCCCAGCAACCACCTTCTCTAAGGTTGCAGAAGCAGAGGAGTCTACGTGGTCATCCCCATCAAAAGACGCTTTTCATGATATTAACCCTAGAGGCTTTGGAACCTTACTATGGTCGGATGCCTTCTGTCCGCCAACGAAGGACTTGTGGGTGAATACAGTGCCATGTTCAATGGCACTTATCAAAATTTCCACCTTGGAGTCGTACTCTTCATCTGGGTGGAAAATATCCTCCTCGTCTGTTGGAGGTGAAAACCGCACCCCCGGTTTTCTTCGGTACAAACCGAGATTGGCACGAAGTAAACCCGGTTTACGAAGGAAATGTACCGGGAACATTGGGCCGAGTGAGTTCTTGGGCCAAACATAGCGCAACGAGCCAAAGTCAGTCAGAAGCTTTTCAAATGAACCGAGACGTTCTCTAAGTTCGGAGGAAAATGGAAAGTTTCCGAATAGAAAAAGGAAACTGACAAGAAGAAAGAAAATTTTCGTGGGAAAAGGAAAATGACCGAGAGAAAAGGAAAGTCTTCTCGGTCCCATATCGCATAGAAGACTCACGAAGACCGACTGAGAAGACATATATAAAGGAAGAGGAATTGACACCAGAAACCACAAGAAAATACAGAGAGACTTAGAGACTGAGAACTCAATACTTTAGCTTCTTAGTTTTATAAGTCTTAGCTCGTTATTCAACCGAACTCAGTTGTATTCTTTGATTGATCTAATAAAATCCGAGTTTGCCAATCTAAATTACTGTTTTGTCCCTTGTCGATATTCACATATCAACAATTGGCGCGCCAGGAAGGGGGACTTAACAGAATACTCAGTTTTAGATCGGATTCCGGAGAGATCGATTCAGCTATGACAGACCAAGTCAACATCCATGAAGAAGGAAACCCTGTCGGCCAAGGGAACGGCGACATCCGAACCCCCACAGAGCAAACAGGAAGAACCCCCGGGGAGACCGCTGGAACAGAGGCCGGCCAAACTCCCGCAGCCGTAGGAGGCTTTGGAACTGGATTATTACTCCAAGTGTTCAACGCTCAGTTCGAAGCTATCCACAAAAGGAGCGAAGAGCGCTTCAGTCAGATGGCTGCACAGACCGCCGAGCTCAGCCAAGCACGAACTCCCCTTCGAGTTCGGAACATCTTTGATGACCTCAATACAGACGGCGACCCAGCCGGAACTACGCGATCCACCGCTGTTGGATCGGCAAATGCTCCAACACCACCGGATCTGAGTCGCGATGCCGAGTTCGAAGCAATGAAGGCACAACTCCGTCAGATCACTTCGAAAATTCACTAAGCAACGAGCACCGCCCCGGAGATCGAGCGCGTCATTCAGGAAACGCGAAAGAAGCCCTTTACACCGCGCATAGCGGGAACGCCTGTCAAACACATGGAGAAACTCAAGAACAAGATCTACGAAGGCAATACCGATCCCCGGCATTTTCTGACCTCGTTCTGAATCTGCATGAATCGATACCAGTTCAGGTCTGCCGAGGAGAAGGACGCGGTCCAGTGCCGCTATTCGTCGAAAGTCTAGGAGGAATAGCTCTCGGCTGGTTCTCACGACTCGAGGCGAACTCAATAAATAACTACAAGGAGCTGACAACGGCCTTTGTCAAGCACTTCTCAATGTTCATCGGACAGAACACCAAGAACTCTGAATTATGGCAGATAGCTCAAGGAGCAAACGAGAGCCTTCGTGACTTCATCCCCCCCGCAGACCTTAGAGGACGCACTACACCGAGCTAACACTTATATCGCTGAAGAAGAAGAGGAGGCAGCTTATGAGCAGAGCTATTCGGCAAAGCAGCTCGAACGACCAAACGCCGCCACTAACGAACCACAATCTGGCTATGGCTGAGGGTACGAGAATCGCAAGAAGTTCTACATTAACGCCATCCAGCAACCGGCCAAGCAGTGGAATAATAAGTGGATCCACAGCGAAGAAGATCAAGACGAGTCATTGTTCTGCGAATTCCATAACCGTAAAGGACATAGCACCGAAGACTGCAGACATCTACAGGAATACCTACTCGCGCAGTATCGAAAAGGACAAGTCTCGCTCGACGATCTCCGTCGTTCAACCGCTCCGAGAAGACGAGAGGGAATCGGGAGAGAAAACCCACATTGCGTGAAATAAGTCAAGTAAACGCAAAGGAAGCCTTCGGGAACGTTCCATGGCCGATCTCCAGCTTCGGGTATAATAAAGACGACTCTTTCTGCGAGCCCGTGAGCCTCGAGTACGGCCTGAACTGCCCTCGGAGAAAGGGAAGAAGCCAGTACGTCGTGAGGACAGACGACTTTTCATTTTGGAATTGGTGTCGAGGCGTGATTCACCGCTTCAAGGTTGTCCTCGACAACTTCTTCTTCGGAGTCGTTCACTTCAAGATTCTCTTCTTCAGATTCTGCAACTTCCTCGATTTCATGGTTGACGCCATCAACGTTCAGTCCAACTCGAGCTCCAGTTTCACGAGTCTCTGTTGTCAGATGCTCAGGCGCCTCCATTCTCGGTTGAGGTCGGCTATTAGCACCGGCCGATCTAGAGTTCTTGCGAACTAAAGCCGGTGGGTTACTCGCCGCCCGAGAGGAGCTTGATGAAGAGGAGGAGCTCGGCTCCAAAGATTCACGACGATCCTCTGGCAGGATTTGATCAGCAGAAGAGTTGATCGAAGAGCTAGAAGAAATTTTGAGTTCGGAAAGATGGAGTCGAAAGAAGATCTGAGGGAAATGAAGAACAGGTTGAAGATCGATCGGAAAGATTGAAGATCGATCGGAAAGTTTGAAGATGGATCGGAGAATTCTGAAGATTGATCGGAAAACTTGAAGATCGGTCGGAAAATTCAAAGATTACGGCGGAAGAAGCAGAGAGAACTAAAGGGAGCTACGGATAAAAATCTAGAGAGAGAAGCAAAATCTAGAGAGAAGGGAGAGCAGCGTACCTTATATATTCTGTGGCGAGAATAATGAATGCGAGGTTCGATATTCCTTTATAAATAAACAGTGGAAATCGTGGTTCCTCGATTTTCGCAAAATCCTGGAATTCACACGCCTCATTAAAGACAAGTTGCGAAACATCCGGGAAAATGAATCGATCAAAGTTACCGAGCTCGGTTTGTAACTAACTTTTAGATTTGGCTCGAATGAGTTCGACTAAAAGCCGTACCCTTTCATCCAACTGAGGGGGGGGCTAACTGTTGGAGGTGAAAACCGCACCCCCGGTTTTCTCCGGTATAAACCAAGATCGGCACGAAGTAAGCCCGGTTTACGAAGGAAATGTACCAGGAACATTGGGCCGAGTGAGTTCTTGGGCCGAACATAGCCCAACGAGCCAAAGTTGGTCAGAAACTTCTCAAAGGAACCGAGAAGTTCTCTGAGTTCAGAGGAAAATGGAAAGTTTCCGAATAGAAAAAGGAAACTGACAAGAAGAAAGGAAATTGTCGTGGGAAAAGGAAAATGACCGAGAGAAAAGGAAAGTCTTCTCGGTTCCATATCGCATAGAAGACCCACGAAGACCGACTGAGAAGACATATATAAAGGAAGAGGAATCGACACCAGAAACCACAAGAAAATACAGAGAGACTTAGAGACTGAGAACTCAATACTTTAGCTTCTTAGTTTCATAAGTCTTAGCTCGTTATTCAACCGAAATCAGTTGTATTCTTTGATCGATCTAATAAAATCCGAGTTTGCCGATCTAAATTACTGTTTTATCCCTTGTCGATATTCACATATCAACATCGTCGAAGACTAAGTCCTCATCTTCGAGGATGTGTTTTACAGAAACCTAAGATAGGTAGTCAACTACTATTAGTACAATATTAGTTAACACTATATTATGGTATGTATATTTATGAATATGCAAAAAAAAAATCAACTATAAATAGTTGTCTACCTTGTCATCTTTGTCAAGCATCCTAACATGATTCATTTGAATTTGAATTGGCTTCTGGGCACCGGGGCGTAGTATTGGAATGTCATCGTCGTCCTCTTAATCATCCGCTAAGCTGGGTTTCTTTCCCTTAACATCTTTAGACAACAAGTTAGGGACGCAAGATAAAACCACCATTTGCAGAGCGTGTAAGAAACCCTGAAATGCACAGGTCGTCTGACAGAGATTGGACAAAGTAGCAGATCTACTTTTGATGCTTTCCATAGTCATGTCAAATGATTTTCGACCCCAAGGATAGGAGAGAAATTCATCAACATCTCTAACCATCAAGATGTGATCACCATTTATTTTTGTATTCTTAGAGGTGGGACACACTATACTGTCGACTAGAAGTAGACAAGCAAGCCTGAATCTGGTATCTTTGTCCTTGTACGGCCTGCCCAAAAGGGTGTTGGATATCCAAACTGTAGTTGTGTTTTTATCAGCCCCAAATAACTGCTTAGTGTATTTCCTGATTCCATCTTCGTCACCTTCAAAGGTCGAAAGTAGAGTCGAGCAATCCAGACCAGTAGCAATAGTGAACTCCCTCATCGAGTATCGAATTGGCTGACCAGAGAAAAGACACCATA